ATCAGTTTGGCTGGGCCATGATTCCCAGAATTGTGTGATTGACCTACATTTCGTGATGGTAATTTTATGTTAAAGAGGATTAGGGTGGGATTGTAACACCACCTTTACCCAGGTCACAACCCTGATCCAATGTAAAGAGAGTTTCCCTGGGGTGTGGCCTGCACCACCTTTTCTCTCTTAAGAGATAAAAGGAAAGGGAAGCAAGCAGAGAGTTGGGGGACCTCATACCATCAAGAAAGCAGTGCCGGGAGCAGAGCGCGTCCTTTGGACCAGGGTCCGATCGCAGAGAAACTCCTAGTCCGGGGGAACACAGAAGAGAAGAAGGCCAACAGAGAGAAAAAGCCTTCCCCTGGAGCTGATGCCCTGAATTTGGACTTTTAGCCTACTTTGACTGTGAGGAAATAAACTTCTCTTTGTTAAAACCATCCACTTGTGGTATTTCTGTTATAGCAGCACTAGATGACTAAGACACCACACATTCCATTTCCTTCTCTTATTCCTGACTCTCCATCTTCCTCTGTTGCTCCAAGTGAATGGAAACCAATTGTTGTGTCTTGGATGGCTGCTTACAAGCTTTTAAGACCCCAGGCACTATGCAGCAAACTAGGAGGTAGAACACAAGCACTAAACATGTTATTAGGCCAATTAACTGGGATGTCCCATGAAACCATGACCCTAAACCTCCAAACCAAAGAACCAAATCCTATGAAGTGTTTGGTTGTACATAAGCAGCCTCAGTGGCTACTCTTAGTAATATTATCTTTTTGAAAATGGGAAATACTAGAGGAAGTATATTTTAAATAAAAGTCCTCCTAATTAAACAACCTCTATAAAAGTCCCAGGAGAGTGTATGGTTCATAGTACGTGCTCGGTAAATTTTGGTACTGTTTTGCAGCAGTAGTGAATACAAAGTCAAGCGTCCCATATCTCAACCCCTCACCTCTACTCATTCCCCTAAAAATTATTATTGCTGTCACAAAAGCATAAAAACTCTAGGCAGAGATAGTCAGTTAATATCTAGGGAATGAAGGCAAAATATGAGGCATTAGGAGCCCGGCTTTGTTTTCTTTCTTTATATTGATTTGCCAGTGTAGATTGGATACACACACACACAAAATTTTTTTTCATGAATGCCCATTCTATAAAATATAATGACATGTAAACTACACAGAATATATTGCAAATAAATATTGGTCAAAATGACATTTGTGTGTAATAAAAACTCTAGAGTACAGTCAGGAATAAAAAAAAAAAAGAGCATCAAGACCTCCCCAATACTAAAGTGTAGGTTTTTTCAAAAGATGAGATCATCAAAACAACAACTTACAATTCACTTCTGGTTGGATCAGTTATCTAATTTCCCAGGAAGGAAGAGAGGAAGCAAACTTTTGGAGACAACCATATTCAACAGGAGCAAGGAATGATAGCCGACTGCTTGGCCACCCAGTTGACATGCAGATGATTCCAACTCAGGGTAGCCCCATTTGTGTCAGAATAGAACTGTGCTCCATAGAGTTTTCAATGGCTGGTTTTTCAAAAGTAGATCGCCAGGCCTTTCTTCTAAGGTGCCTCTGGGTGGACTTGAACCTCCAACCTTTCTGTTAGCAGCTCAGTGGGTTTTACCATCAGGTACTTTGACTGCTTGGCAGAGGGTATTAAAACAACAGAACCACCAAAGGAGACAGAGGCTCCACAGTTATTTGTATTAGAGCCCCCTGCAGTACTTGATTCAACAAAGTGAGATTAAAAGGCAGTAGTTGTGATTCTTTATAGAAAGATTTTTATTCAGTAAAATGTTCTAGATGGAAAGTGATAGGTTTCAAAGAACGTAGAAATTTTGGTTCTGAATATCTCCTTGTTCCCCATTGAGACGTTATTATATTTGAATGAAGAAAATTTTTTGGGGGGGTTGTAGAGAATCCAAAATAATAACCTTAGGTATACTTTATTTATTGAATGCCTACTCTGTGCTTGATAGTTTAGGGGCTTTATATGTTCTCCCATTTCTTCCTCAAAGCATCTCTGTAGGGCAAGTATTATTAGTTCCATTTCACAGATAAAGAGACTGAGAATCAGAGGGTTCTCAAAATAACTTAGCCAACAAGTGGCAGAGTTGGCATTCAGACTCCTGTGCTCCAGTATATAGGAAAAGACACATTTTCTGGTCCTACATCAGCCTGGCTTTAAAAAAAAAAGCCGACACCATTTTTTCCCAGTTTAATTCACCCATTTCTGTTTCCCCTTTCTCTTCCTCTTTGTTTTCCCTCTTTTAGCCAGCTTCCTTTTTTGTTGCTTTTTAGCTTGTACATGAGAGTTACAGTTCACGCCGCCTGAATCCAAGCACGATTTTGAAACTCTGTTGTTGCCCAAACCTTGACGCAAACAGTTAGCATGTGAACCTCGCTTTCTCCACTTCCAGAATGCCACTTAAGCCACCCTTTGATCCTGGAATACTTTGTGGGTGAGTCTCTCTTCTACACTTAAGTCTTTGGATGCACACAGCTTACTCAGAGACTAAAGTGCTTAGCAAAATCACAAATCTGTCTCCGCTCAGAACTGCATTGCCCATACACAAAGCACCCAACAGTCACAAGGACGGCCATGCAGAGATGGAGTACATTTCCAATGAAATTCTTTTTAATATATGTCTTTATTGTTTTTCCGATTACAAGAGTAATAAATGTTGTTTGCAAAACTTAAATTATTTCAGAAAGATAAAAATTGAAACTGTCTCATAATTCTACTAATCACCCTCCCCACCCCCAAGATAATCCCTGTTAACAATTTTAAAGAAATTCTTATTTGTGAATTACTCTTTGAAATCAGATGGTATTTTTTTTTCTGCCACTCTGTGAATTTAGCTGAGAACATTGACCAGCTGGGACACTCCAGATTCAGAAGGTTGCTGACCCTACTCTTTCTCCCCAGATCTTTGTTATGCATGTTCAAGACACACTCTAGAAAGACAGGCAAAGAAAGCATCACTCGTCAGAAATGTGAATGAGCTAATTAGTAAAAAATTCTAGATGGAAGTGATACTATTCACCTGAAACCATGGAAATACTATCACTTGTGTTGGTTTTTATTTAATTTTTGGCCAGTTAAGTACTGCTTAGTTGACTAAAACTATGTAAGAAGAAATTAAAATATACAAATTTTATAGAAGAATGGGAATTGTAAGCTAGCTGGGAGTTGCATTCTGGTATCCGTACTTCACACATGAGGAAGCTGAGGCCCTCAGATTGTGTCCCTGACTGTCCTTCCTTGCTGCATTTGGTCCATGTGTGTGGGCTTGATCCACATGCTCCTAGCACAGATGCCCTTCTTGCAGATCTTAAATTGCTGTTATTTTTTTTTAATGACCAAGCAGCACACATTCTATAGAAACCTCACGAAGTGTTAGCATTTGAGTATGTAATTTTTCAGAACTTTTTCTATGTATATGTATTATATATATATAAAGAACCCGAGAAACCCTATAGTGTAGAGATTAATAAGTCCAACTCTGGAATTAAATGGCGTAGGTTCAAATTCTAGTTCTAATACTAGCTATGAAATCTTGGAGAAGGGTACCTGGGTAGAACAAAAGGTTTAACACACTCCACTGCTAACCAAAATGTTGGGACTTCAGGTCCACCCAGAGGCACCTTGGAAGAAAGCCCTGGCCATCTACTTCCAAAAAATCAGTCATTGAAAACCCTGTAGAGCACAGTTCTATTCTCACACATATGAGGTACCATGAGTTGGAGTCTGCTCGATGGCAGCTTGTTTGGTTTTTTAACCTTGGAGAAGCTACCTAACTTCTCTGAAGCTCAATCCCCCCATCTATGAAATGGGAATAATGATGATGCTTCCCTCATTGGGAAAGGAGTGTGGATTAACGAGCTAATGTGTACAAAGTTCCTGGTGTAGAGTAAGCACTCAGTAAATGTTAGGACTTAGTGTTTTTGTATAAAAATGGGGTCATACTTGTAATGCTGTATTATAATTTATTTTTTTAATGCAATAAACATATACCTATGTCAATAAATATGTCATCCTTTTTATGGTTGCACGATAATTGCATTATATGATGTGCTATACTTTCTTTAAGGAGCCCTGGTGGTGCACAGGTTAAGTGCTCAGCTGCTAACCGAAAGTTTGATGGTTCAAACCCACCAGCCTCTCTGCAGGAGAAAGATATGGCAACCTGCTTCTGTAAAGATTACAGCCTTGGAAACCCTATAGGGCAGTTCTACTCTGTCCCATAGGGTTGCTGTGAGTCAGAATTGACTTGGCAAGCAACAACAACCTGCTCTCTTTAGTTCCTGAACTCATAGAAATGATCGAATGATCAAAGAGCCATTTGTTTTACCCATCCTTGGAAAGTAATGCTTGTTCTGATATCCAAATCTAGAGAGGCTTGAGAACTTTATTACCATATAGTTTTTATCTGAAGAGGAATTTAGCATTCTTTTAAGAAATATGTAAGAATCGTTCTACTTTCAGAAAATATTGAGTTGCTAAAAATTTCAAGGAGCTCTCAACTGGTTAGATTCCTGGACATGTAAACTTGTGAAATTTCTTATGCACTTGTCCTCCTTTTCTAAGATACGACCCTTAATGTCTAAGTACGTGTTTTCTGCCTTGATAAGTGACTACGCATCTGACTATTTCACTGACTTTAGATTCTGGGCATTCACAGGACTGCCTTCATTAGACCAGAGAGTGCAAGCACTCTGCCTTAGTCTAGTGATAATGCAGCAGCAGGAGTCCTCGGGCCCTTTCTAATTCAAACGATCAAGGCTTCTTGGGTAAAGTGGATGACTGAGTGAGCTTATAGCAGTAAAATTCATAATGAAGGACACATCGGAACTTGCTAAAGCAATGCCTTTGTCTCTAGGAAGGCCGACAGGACACTCAGTAGTGATTACACCAGGGCTTTGTCTTATCCCAGCAACCATGGCTTCTTCACACTTGCAGTATCTGAATGGCTTTCTCTGGCCTGCTAATCCCCACAGGAATGCGGCTTTGGCTATGGGGAGGATGCGCAGTGTATGACATGCAGGCCACACAGGTTCAAGGAGGACTGGGGCTTCCAGAAGTGCAAGCCGTGTCTCGACTGTGCCCTGGTGAACCGCTTCCAGAAGGCAAACTGCTCTGCCATCAACGACGCCGTCTGTGGGGAATGCCTCCCAGGGTAAGTGGGTGACATCTTTGTCTCCTAATCAGTTAGATAATTTTTAAGACATTCCTCTTGATCCCTTCCAAACTTGAATGCACACTGATATTAACCCTGAGATGTTTGTCAAGTGTTCATGTCCTTGCTTCTCAATATTTATTCTCTAGATTCTTTATGCCTAGTTATGTGCCAGGCACTCTGCCAGGCACTGGTTATAAAATAAAATAAGTAAGCATACCAACATAGGATTGTTATCGTTAGCTACCATCAAGTTGGCCCAACTCATGGCAGCTCCACGCACAATGGAACAAAATGCTACCTTCATCCTGAGCCATCCCCATGGTGGGTTGTAGCTCAGACCATTGACTTCCATAGGGTTTTCATTGCCTGACTTTTGGAAATAGATCTCTAGGCCTTTCTTCCTAGTCTGCCTTAGTCTGGAAGCTCCTCTGGAATCTGTTCAGCATCAGGCAACATGCAAGCCTTGTTTTGACAGATGGGTAGTGACTGCGCATGAGGTGCATTGGTCAGGAATCAAACCTGGGTCTCCTGTATGGAAGGTGAGAATTTTACCACTGAACCACCACTGCCTTAACATAGGATTAGTGTCACGAAAATATAAAGAGCGCCTCCAAACCAATAAAAAAGAAAAATATGGACAGAGGGACCAAAGAATCAACAGGCAATTCACACAAGAAGAAACACATATGGCCAAAAATCACACAAAGACATTCATCCTCATTCGTGATCAGAGAAATGCAAACATGACCATTAAACAATTTCAACAAGTATTTCCGAGCAGCTGCTAGGCATTGTTTTAGGTATCTGGGATGTGTCAGTGAATAAAAGGGGAAAATATCCCTGCCCTTGTGGAGCTTATCTTCTAATAGGTTTTTAAAAAACACTCAAACAGGAAATAATAAGTAAGTGGTGTGGAATGGTAAACCAAAACCCAAACCCACTGCCGTCGAGTCAATTTCCAACTCAACTATAGGACAGAGTAGAGCTGCCCCATGGAGTTTTCCATAGAGCACCTGGTGGATTCGAACTGCCAACCTTTTGGTTAGCAGTCATAGCTCTTAACCACTATACTACTAGGGTTTCTAATTGCTATGGAGAAGAGAAAGCCTAGAGCAGATAAGGAGGGTTAGGAGGTGCCATGTGGTGGGGTGGCAGGTGGCAGTATTAAATTGAGTAACCAGGGTAGGTTTTATTGCAAAGATCTGAGCCCAGGCTTGAAGGAGGTGATGGAATGGGTACGTAGGTATGGTGAAGACCTTCAGGGTACACGTTGAGAATGTACCCAGGCCAGGAAAAGAAGGGGGACTATACCTGAAGCAGGTGGAGAAGTAAAGCCCAGTGGGAGGAATTTTAAAGTTTAGAATGCTTCGAGGCAACCATTGGACAAATGTGCCACATAAGACAGACAGTTGGAGCACAGAGTCTGTATGAAGAGCTGGACTCAGGGAGGCGACGGTCATGGACTGTTAGGGAGTGAGGAGGCATTGCTACATGAGACATGAAGAGAAAGAGACAAACCAGAACATCATGATGACTTAATGGGCATAGACTGGAACCAGTGCTACAGACCAAAGACAGAAGAGAGAGAAACTGAAATTCCAGAAGCAGAAAACAGACTTGAAGGCAAATGTAAGAAACAACCAGAATCAACATTACATGAGTGGCAAATATTTATTGGACATTTATAATCTACCAGACACTGGGTTATGTAATTTACATGACGTATATCTATAATGTTCACAATATTTTAAATGAAGAAACTGAACCTTATAAGGTTTAAGTTATTCAGTTAAGCTCGCTTAGCTAGTAAATGGTGAAGCTTGGGTTGAAATTCAGGCACCAGAGTCCGTGCTCTAAGTCCCTAAAGACAAAGGACTCTGATCTGCAATTAACCAGAATGTGCCAACAGGGACAGGGTGGTTTTGACTGGTTCTGGGCTCCTTGTAGAAGGCAGTGGGAGAGATAAAGCTCTGGGCCTGAAGGGGAGAAAGTCAAACCAAACCCATTGCCACTGAGTCTATTCTGAGTCATGACAACCCCATTTATTACAGAATAGAACTGCTCCATAGAGTTTTCTTGGCTGTAATCTTTATAGAAGCAGATCACCAGGCCCTTTTTCCAAGACACTTCTGGGTGGATTCGAACTGCCAACATTTTGGTTAGTAGTGAGTGCAAACCATTTGTGCCACCCAGGGACCCTGAAGGGAAGAAACAGGGTAGGATATGGCCTTGTGGGTCAAGCATGGCCTTATGCAAACAGTCAGCATCTAAGGAGGTGCAAAAAGTAGTAGTCTAACACCAAAAGCACACGCAACAAAAGAAAACAGCTGTACTGGACCTCATCAACATTAAAAGCTGTTTTACTTCACACAGGGCATTTTAAGGGCAGTGAAACTATTCTGCATTTTACTCTAATGGTGTACACATGACATTATATATTTGTGAAAACCCATAGGACTGTACAATACAAAGAGAGAACCCTAATCTAAACTATATTCTGACTCATAGTGACCCTATAGGACAGAGTACAGCTGCCCATAAAGTTTCCAAGGAGTGGCTGGTAGATTTGAACTGCCGACCTTTTGGTTAGCAGCTGTAGTTCACCGTAGCTCTTAACCACTGCGCCACCAGAGCTCCAAACTATGGACTTTAGTTAATAATAATGTATCAATATTGGGTCATCCATTGTAACAAATGCACTACAGTAAATGCAAGATGCTAATAATAGGAGAAAGAGTACTTACGGGCCAGAAGGAGTGTATGGGAACTCTGTATTTCCTGCACAATGTTTCTGTAAAACTAAAACTACCCTAAAAAAATAAAATATATTTTAAAAAACCACTTTGCTTCAAAGGGCACCATCAGGAAAGTGAAAAGACAACCCACAGAATGGGAGAAAATATTTTCATATTCTATAGCTGATAGTAGGCTCGTATCTAGAATGTGCAAAGAACTCTTAATAAATCAATAATGAAAAAAAAGACAACCCGGTTTAAAAATGGGCAAAGTAATTGAATAGACATTTGTCCAGAGGAGAGATACGTATGGCCAATAAGCACAAAGATACACAGCATCATTAGCCATTAAGGAAATGCACATCAAAACCACAATGAGATACCACTTTACACCCACTAGGGTTGGCTATAATAAAAAAGATGGACAACAACAAATGTTGGTGAAGATGTGGAGAAATTGGAACACAGGTGATGGGAATGTAAAATGGTTCAGCCTGTGGAAAACAGTCTGGCAGTGGCTCAAAATGTTACGGAAAGAGTTATCTCATGATCTAGCAATTCTGCTCCTAGGTATATGCTCAACAGAAATGAGAACGTATGTCCATACATAAACTTATGTACGAATGCTCATAGCAGCATTATTCATAATAGCCACAAAGTGGAAACAACCCAAATGCCTACCGACTGATGAATAAACAAAATGTGGTACATCTCTACAATGGAATAGTATTTGGCCATGAAAAGGAATGAAGTTCTGATACATGCTACAACGTGAATCAACCTGGAAAACATTATGCTGAGTGAAAAAAGTCAGACGCAAAAGGACAAGCATTGTGTGATTCCAGTGATACGAAATGTCCAGAACAGGCAAATCTATAGAGACAAAAAGTAGATTAGTTGTTGCCTGGAGGTGGTAGGGAGAACAGGGGCCAGTGTGGAGAGGTGAGTGTGTGTGTGTTAACTGCTGATGGGTTCAGGGTTTCTTTTGTAGGTGATGGAAATGTTCTAAAATTAATTGTTGTGATAGTTGCACAATTATGTGAATATACTAAAAGCCATTGAATTGTACATTTTTAATGGATGCATTGTATGATATGTGAATTATATCTCAATAAATACGATACAGAAACAAAACTAATGCTCCGTCATCTCAGACCTGTGTTGGTATCTGTGAATATCATTGCCTGGAGTTTTGATCTTGTGTGAATCTAATCGAGAAACACGAACTGAACGTCTGACATATTGCTGCTGTCCATATCCTACAAGCCTTGACAAAAGCGTGTCTGACTGCAACAGAGGTGTCCACAGCAGATGCAGGTGCTGAGGCAGGCTGTGTCCGGAGGACTGGGGAAGAGTCAGGATCCAAGGACTTGGTGTTGCAAAGCTGTCTCCTCTGTTTTTAAGCAGAGGGAACCATAGTGGGTGTGGGCTGGAGTGCCCTTTCATCTGAGAGAGGATGCATCTCCCCAGATGCCAACAAAGCATTGTTCCTCACGCTTACCCTCATTCATTGTCACTTGAACCCACTGCTTTAGTTTCCTTAATGTTTGTTCATTCGTTAAGTAAATATTGATATTCGGGAAAGCTAAAAATGAATAGGCATTTGAATGACATGTTTAACGGTTTATTTATGTGATTAGTTTACTCTTACATCCTTTTGAAACCAGCTTCAGTATATGAGGCAGGTGATAATTCCCTAGCGACTTTTAGCCAGGGCTTTTCAGAGTGTTTTACAAGTTCTCTTCCAGTTTGATTACCTTTCTGCAAAGAAAGCAAATAGTTGAAACCCATTCTACAGACAGGAAAATTGAGGCAAATGGAGATTTAAAAAAATAAGCAAATTGCGTATTGCTTCCAGAAAAAAGATGTCAACCCCAGGCATAAGTTGGGCATTTTTCTCCCTGGTGCCACCCCTCCTTTCTACAGCCTTGGACAGTTGCTGTCGAGTCATTTCTGACTTATGGCAGCCATATGTGTGTCGGAGTAGAACTGTGCTCCACAGAGCTTTCAATGGCTGATTTTTCAGAAACAAGTCAGGTCACCAGGCCTCTCTTCTAAGGCCTCTCGGTGAACTCAAACCTCCAACCTTTCAGTTAGCAGCCGAGCGCGTTAACCATTTTCACCACTCAGGGAATCCTCTGCATCTCAACCTCACTCTAACACGAATTATCTGTTACCGATAAGCTCAGCCCCAACAGGATCCCAGCAATTTTTTCCTGAGTAGCAAGCTGGCTGTGGAAATAGTCTGCCCTTGCTCTGGGC